CATATACGGTTTGTATTGCAATCGTATTATGAAGATTCAAAGAAAGAGGTATGATCGCTTCTTGACATAATCCCTCATCTGTTTTGTCAGTTGGTGAATAATGCGAAATTTGGTCAGTTCAGCAGTCAAACTAAAATACTATCGGTGGATATTTGATTGGTGATTTAGAATACTGCTGCAGATCCTATCCTCAAGAAGGTAATCCACTCGGTTTAGCACTGGTCATGTCAGAACTGTTGTCAAAGATGTTTTTATGACCGAATGAAGCAACGGATTCGCTTCCGTCTGGTTCTGCTTGTAAGAAAACCCATTGAATGAACTTTCTTGTCGCTTGAGAAGGTTTCTGAATTTGGTTTATGAGATGAGGAAGGGAACTGATGATATAAACTGATGGGTACATAAATGAGTGACCTGACATGCTGATCTTCAAGAATGACCAATTGAGCGACGGTTTCACATTTTGGTGGTACCCGAACTGTACTATCAACACCCCATGTTAGTTCCTCTTCTTGGGTATTTTCACCGATATGAACAACGGAAACTTCGTTATGAAAACCGGCGTTTGCTTCAACCACCTCACAAGGAGTCTTCAGTTTCAGTTCCATGTCGATTCCACGACACACACCTTTCTCTGGAAATGATACCTGGATTTATTAATGATAAGTTTTCTATCTTTTGGTCAATAGGATCAAAATTCACGACATTTTTGGGATGTGATCCTCGATAATGCAATTTCTTGAAAAAGAGATGAAATTCAGCGTATTTTCATTGATAATTATTCAATCGCTTATATGGTCTTGTGGAGTTGAATTGTTTTGATGGTCCAAAATCTCACAGTTTTGATTAATCATGACAGTTCAATGACTTATTCAAATTGTGAATGGAGGCATTGAAATCATTCGGAAAGACTGGCGATTAGTGATGTTGAGAAGAGAATGTGGATCTGTTTTGTGGTTACTAACCGACTGAAACAGTGACAGCACTACGGGTTACACGTTCAGTTTTGAACGAGTATTCCTGCTCTCGTTCGGTGGTGTTCGTGAATGTTGACTTGAAGAGCACTTGTTCACTTTTTGATGGCTTCATCGATTTCATATCCACTCCATACAGCGAGTATCGCGGCTCAAGACACTCGTTGAAGACATGCGACCAGTTGATGTTGAACTGAAATTTCATGGCAATGAAAATTTTCGGTTTGGTAACATTTTCGAGTGAATCAGTTGTATATGTACGATCCTGTGACGAATTAATAAAATGTCCTTGTTTGCTGACCATAAGATCAAGTGAGTCTTCATGAATATGGAATCGTGTTTGCTTTGAGTCGTTCCCTTTTTTGGAACTGCTTTACTTCTGATTGTGTATGGATGAGTGATTTATAAATATGATTTATAAATATACGTGATTATAAATAATTATTACTCATTACGAGCGCAAATAAATTTGAATGAGGACATCCTGGAGACATCTTTTAGAATGAATATGCCAGTGGATCCTTTAGAGTGACGAATCCTTTTCAGTTCTGAATAATGGAATCCAAAGATGCCTTTGCAGGTAAAGAAGGTCATATTATGAATAAATGAACGAATCAACA